TATATATATATATATATATATATATATATATATATATATATATATATATATATTCCTTTGAGTGAATGTAAAGGAGTGGTACAAAGGTCTACAACTGGCCATGATGCAGAGAATAAGTGCTGTGGGATGTCCAATCTCCACTGATACATCTACAATTTCACCATTATACATAGGGCTCAGGGAAAATAACAGAAGAGGAAGTAGAAAGATTCTAAGAGTCAGAAAACCAGGATGCCAGCAATGATAAAGACCATCTTTTCAACACGACAAGGATGCTGTACCCATGAAATCTCAAGAACATGGCTGCCTTAGCAAGACCTACATAATGAAAACATTATTTGATACATCAGTGTGGATGGGGAAAGTCTCACAAAACCTCATTTCTAGATGAATGGCTACAGGCAAAATCAATGGCTGTGGAGAAAGGGAGAAACAGTCTTCTTCAGCAACAAGCTCACTGATAGGTTATCAAATGCCAAGTGGTCTGTCCTAAACTCATGTACATATGAACAGCACTAAATGGACTCAGTAGGATATGTGTGTGTGTGTGTGTGTGTGTGTGTGTTTGTATGTGTGTGTAATAATAGAAGAAGAGATCATAAATTTGAGAGGAAGTGGTGGAGGATATGGGGTGAGTTGGAAGGGTGAGAATGAGCGGTGGAAATCACATGGAGTATTCCTGTATAAAATTCTGAAAAATGAAATAAACCCCCACCAACTTAGAGTTCCATTCAGCATCTGTTGAAAGCATGCATGTTAACAGGAAAATACAGAACACTGGAATAGTTGAATGTGTATACTGACTAGAAGGCAATGAGGTTAGGGCATGAGTATAAATGGAACAACAGGATGCAGAAGGAAGGGATAGCCTGTTGTAAGCGACTATTAATATTTACTATTAGTTTATCTTCTGGTAAAGCTTGCTGTTAATCTTAAAAAGCTGTAAAACCAAATCACCACACAGAGACTGGGTTTTTAGTTAACCTAGAACACAATGCTGGGCAATATTTACTCCTTCCTATACCTCCAAGCCCTCAGTTTCCTAACATTTAGATTTCCCACATTATATTTGCTTCTTGTGAAATCTTAGGTCTGGTTCATGCTCCATGTCCTCCATGCTCTCTCCTCCAGCTCTGCTCTCCTCGCTCTCCTCCTCCTCCCACCCTTTCTTGCTCTCTAGCTCCTCCCCTCTTTCCTGTCCTCTGGCTCCTCTCATTGCACAACATTGTATCTAGTTGTTTTATTTTGTCCTGTTTACACAAGAGTTGAGACAGGATGCTTATAATGAGTATCACAATGCAATATCCAGATTGAAACCAGAGTTGGGGGTGGGGAAATCAGCATTTGAATTAACAAGGGTAAAGCCTATACATTTAAAAAGAACATTATACCAACAATAGCCTTTGTCAGAAATACAGATTCAGGCAATCAGCAATGTGATGGAGGGCTTTCTTTTCTATGAGTATAACTGAAGACTCAAAGAGGAAAAGAATTAGAAAACAAATACAGTAAGAAATTTGACTTGGATTTATCAAAAAAGGAACAGGAATTCTTGCCCAGCATGGCAAGAATAAATAGAGCAGCAAGCAAACAAAAACCCAACTGAAATCCCTTTAAAACACTCATGCTTTGCAATAAAGAAAACCACTGTGAACATGATTCTTCTTGTTTTGTTTTTAATTTATTTATTGTTTTATTAATTACAGTTTATTTACTTTGTATAAATTGTAATAGCTGTAGCCTCCTCCCTCATCCCCTCTCAATTCCACCCTCCCTTCCTCTTCTCCTCCCATGCCCCTCCCCCAGTCCACTGATAGGGGAGGTCCTCCTTCTCTTCCATCTGATCCTAGTCAGTCAGTTCTCATCAGGACTGGCTGCATTGTCTTTCTCTGTGGCCTGGTGAGGCTGTACCTCCTTCAGGGGGAGGTGATTAAAGAGCAGGCCACTGAGTTCAGAACAGGATTCTGGAGAAACAGATTTCCCCAGCAAGCTCCCGCAGAGGCCGTATGTAGAAAGACCTCTTTTCCACAGGTCAGCCTTTTCAGGAATGTTAGGAATTACATAGCTGACCCTGACCTAGGAAACAAGGTGAGCCAGAGATATAGCAAACCTTACCCACACTGCGGAGATATCCCATTACCTGACACATCCATTACAACCATCTTCAGGGAGAGGAATAAGAGACAAATCAGTTGGATGTGTTTTACCGAAAACAACACCCAGATCATTTCCCTTAGGTCTGCCTCAAATTGAATGATTGGCTACAACCACCCACAAGCCAGTCCTGCCCACCTCACAGCAAAGCCCATAGCTTCCAAGCTGAGGATTCCCACTGTCTGGGCATGTCCCTAAATATCTTGTTACCTATCTGCTCTTTAGAGAAAAGAGAAAGTTGGAAGTGAGATCTCAAGTCTCCTGCCCACTTACAAGGAAATCCGGTGTCCACTGGATTCACACACTGTAGTTCAACAACAGGAAGCACTCCACTCTGCTCCAGGCTCACTTGAAACCCACTCCTGCTTCCTCTCTGGCAAGCAGCAGGTTCAGGTTAATTCATTAGGATTTACACACCCTTTTGGCTTCTGCCCCGCCCCTCTCAGTGTGTGTTGGCCAATCACTGAGGAGCACAGATCTAGCTGCTTTCACAATCTGCATTTCCAAGAACAGGAAACTGAAACTAAATCTCACAGCTGTATTTCATTCTATTAACATTTTATTTCTTGGCAGAAAAAGCTACACCGTCCTAAGTAACAATTGAGGGGCAGCGCGGGGGTGCTTAGAAACAGAGC